TGGCCCAGGGAAGGTGGGCGCAGGGACGGGAGACCACGGAGACGACGACGAGCGAACGACGGGAACGGACAAACCCCTCACACACGCCGACGCAGGGTCGCGCCCCCCCCCCCGGGACCGCCCCCGGGAACCCCCCCCCGGCAGGGAAGGGATCAAAGGGAAGGGGCTTCCCTTCGATTCAGTGACAACGTTGCTCTTGAGGAGGAGGCGCTGGAAAAGCGGGGAGGGAGCGGCGACGGGCCCAGGGAAGAGTGGGTAAGGGGAGGAGGGGAGACGCCCGGGCCCAGGGACAGGGGGAGCACAGGGACAGGAAACGATTGGCCCAGGGAAGGGATGGGCGCGGGGACGGGAGACGACGGAGACGACGGCGAGCGAACCACGGGCACGGACAACCCCCTCACGCCGACACAGGGCCGGCGGACTTAGGCCCTTGCCTCCCCGCCCCCCCTCTGGGTCGCCCCCCGGTGCGCCCCGCCCGAGCGGGGGCCGCCCCGAGCGGGCGGGCCGCGGGCGGGATGGCGCCCGCGCCCGCGGCGCGCGCGGCGCTCCGCCCCCTCGCCTGCGCCGGGGTCTGGGGGCCTGGCGGCTGGCGGGGGCCTCGGGGCGGGGTCGCTGCTCTGGACGCCCGAAATGGGTACTGAAAGAATGGGTACTATGCCCAACAGCAGTTCCTGTTCATTCTGAACAGGACTCGCTGTCCGCGCCGCCGCGGCCTGTGTCCATTCGAGGCAGGAGGCCGCCTGCCCAACAGCGGCCGCTGTTGGCTTGGGACAACATTTGTTGTTGGGCATAGTGCCCATTCTTTCCGTACCCATTTCGGGCGTCCAAATCGGGGGCCTCGGGGCGGGGTCGCTGCAGGCGGGGGCCAGCCAGAGCCTCCGATCTTGCAGGAGCCTGCAGGGCCAGGGACGCATTGACCGGGGCTTGGGTGCAGGCTCCTGCAGGGTCTTGCAGGGCCCGATTGACCAGGGTCTGGATGGACCCGGGTCAGCAATCAGATCCCCGAGGCCGTGCGGGCGCGGCTCACCCCGAGTCTCGGGGCGTAGCACTTGGCATCGCTCGGGCGTGTGAATTTGTTTCTGTGGGAGCACCATCGAATGGCATCCTGGAGCATCCTGCGAACAGAGACACGCACGATATCGAAAAATATGCACGGGGAAGGGACGTCCGAGCGACGGCAAGATCATGTTTTTGCTCACGGTGGGCGTTTCCGCCCGGTTTCGGGCCCCGGGGCAGGCACAGAGGGATCCGGCGGGGAGAGTGCCGCAGAGAGATTGGGTCCGGGGCCCCAGTCGCGTTCGGTAGCGATGTCGAGTGTCAGGGTTGGCGTGCGGGGCTTTGGGTGGGGGGGGGAGCCAGGGGCCCAGACCCCCTCGCGTCGCGAGAACCTCACGACGGACGGTGTCTGTTTTGGGTATCCTAGATGGGGTCGGAGGATCGCGTCGCATCGCCGATGCATCGGGGATGCAGCTCGATGTGGAGCCCGATGCTGTCCACGCCGGCGTCGCCGATGCGTCGCCGACGTCGCCGATGCATCGTCGATGCATCGTCGATGCATCGCCGATGTATCGGTCATGCGGCGGGATCCTCCGACGTCATCTATTCGGCCCCCATCTAGGAGGCCTCTATTCAGGCCCTTGTTGATCGGCGGCGTCTCGGATCTCAGCTGCGGTCGGGCACTCACAGGGCTGCCGCAAACCGCGAGGTTGGCACGGGGAGGCAGGAGGCTTGAACAAAAGCCCAAGCGATAACCCAACTCCCGGGAATCCTGGATGGACAAACTCCTGCGCGGAGGGGGGCCGAACGTCTTCGGACGTCATCAGGGGGAGAGGGGAGGGTAGTGTTCATAATGTGTGGCAGGCCGAGAGGGCCGCGAGCGGCCCGGGAGCCCCCAGAGCGTGAGGTTCTGAGGGGCGCGCCCGAGCAGCCCCGTTGTGCAGCGGGCGGGGCGCCCCGGCGGTGGTCTCCGGCCCTGCATGGGGGCTCTCGCCAGGCCCCCCCGAGGGGCCACTCCTCAGCAAAGTGACTCGGGATCTGCGTTTGGCGCGCGGGGGCACTTTGGGGGCGTTTTTCTATCGCGTCCGTTTTCCATGTTTTACGGGCGCAGCCCGTAATTTGATTCTCGCGAGGTAGACACTGACAGACTGAACTGAACCACCAGGCCGTTAGATGGCAGTTTTATTTCCGCGGGTGAGGATATTTCGGGTGGCAGTTTTAAGCCAGCTGGTGAGCATATTTCGGTGGCAGTTTTAAGCCAGCGGGTGAGGATATTTCGGTGGCAGTTTTAAGCGCCAGCGGGTGAGGATGTTTCGGTGGCAGTTTTAAGCCAGCGGGTGAGGATATCTCGGGTGAGGATATTTCGGTGGCAGTTTTACGCCAGCGGGTGAGGATATTTCGGGTGGCAGGTTTAAGCCAGCGGGTGAGGATATCTCGCGTGGCAGTTTTAAGCCAGCGGGTGAAGATATTTCGGATGAGGATATTTCGGGTGGCTGTTTTAAGCCAGCGGGTGAGGATATTTCGGGTGGCAGGTTTAAGCCAGCGGGTGAGGATATCTCGGGTGGCAGTTTTAAGCCAGCGGGTGAGGATATCTCGGGTGGCAGTTTTAAGCCAGCGGGTGAGAATATTTGGGTGGCAGTTTTATGTCCGCGGGTGAGGATATTTCGGGTGGCAGTTTTAAGCCAGCTGGTGAGCATATTTCGGTGGCAGTTTTAAGCCAGCGGGTGAGGATATTTCGGTGGCAGTTTTAAGCGCCAGCGGGTGAGGATGTTTCGGTGGCAGTTTTAAGCCAGCGGGTGAGGATATCTCGGGTGAGGATATTTCGGTGGCAGTTTTACGCCAGCGGGTGAGGATATTTCGGGTGGCAGGTTTAAGCCAGCGGGTGAGGATATCTCGCGTGGCAGTTTTAAGCCAGCGGGTGAAGATATTTCGGATGAGGATGTTTCAGGTGGCTGTTTTAATCCAGCGGGTGAGGATATTTCGGGTGGCAGGTTTAAGCCAGCGGGTGAGGATATCTCGGGTGGCAGTTTTAAGCCAGCGGGTGAGGATATCTCGGGTGGCAGTTTTAAGCCAGCGGGTGAGAATATTTGGGTGGCAGTTTTAAGCCAGCGGGTGGGGATATTTCGGGTGGCAGTTTTAAGCCAGCTGGTGAGCATATTTCGGTGGCAGTTTTAAGCCAGCGGGTGAGGATATTTCGGTGGCAGTTTTAAGCGCCAGCGGGTGAGGATGTTTCGGTGGCAGTTTTAAGCCAGCGGGTGAGGATATCTCGGGTGAGGATATTTCGGTGGCAGTTTTACGCCAGCGGGTGAGGATATTTCGGGTGGCAGGTTTAAGCCAGCGGGTGAGGATATCTCGCGTGGCAGTTTTAAGCCAGCGGGTGAAGATATTTCGGATGAGGATATTTCGGGTGGCAGTTTTAAGCCAGCGGGTGAGGATATTTCGGGTGGCAGGTTTAAGCAAGCGGGTGAGGATATCTCGGGCGGACGAGGCAAGAGGCGGCGGGAGGAGGATTTCATTGAAAATGGACGACGGGGGGGGGGAGATCAGCTCGAGGGCGGAGGACGCGGACGGGATGAGGAGGCGGCAGAAGGGAGGAGGAGGTGGAAGTGGAGGAGTCGAAGGAGGAGGAGGAGGAGGTGGAAGAGGAGGAGGAGGAGGAAGAGGAGGGAGGAACCGAGAAGAGCTCTGTGCTCGGCGCGGGCATCCAGCCGCCACGCGATGCATCATCTGTATGGTCGGCCCAGCCGACGGCTACGCCTCCAGCGAGGTGCTGCGCCCGTATATATGCTCGCCCCTTGGCGTGGGGCTGGCGGGGGGCCAAGGGGCGAGCTGTCCGGTGATTCGCTGCTTTTGATTCGGTTCGAACGTTTTGGCAGTGGCACCCCAGAACATGCGGTGAGATCGAGAAGAAAGCGGGCCGCAGGGAATAATCCTGGACCAGACAGCGTAACAAACACGGCGCCCAAAACGTGCAAATCACGTAGGTCTCCAAAGCAGAGCGGAGAAAAAAGCTGTCCCCCCCTTGCGTTCCTCATCACGTGCTGGCGACTTGCACCCATACCTATGCGACCCCTCGACATCTTGGGGTTGAGTTCCGCGAGGGCTATGGGTGTGCGTGCGTGCGTGCGTGCGTGCGTGCGTGCGTGCGTGCGTGCGTGCGTGCGTGCGTGCGTGCGTGTGCGTTGGCGGGTGGGGGTCCCCGCCCGGGCGGGAGTTGCCGTCGGGGTCGACGACCCGCACCCATACGTGCAGGTAGCGCCTTCGGCGCTCTGCCCCTCCCCAGAGTCCTCCTCCGCGCGGGTCTGAGTGTGCGCTGCTCTTTCGGCACTGCCGTCGGGAGCTCTCGTGGATCGCGTGTGGGGATCCGCCGGTTCTGGCCCAGCGCGCCTCGGTGCGACACGCTATGATCGCCACCCAGCAGACCACCCCAGCCCAGCCCGAAGGCCCCGAATGTGCCCTTCGTTTCCAGTGGGGTGGGGTCTGGGCAACGTTGACAAGACACATGGGACCCGTAGCCCCCCCCAGCCCGAAATTCGAGTCTTCTCTTCGGGTTGGGCTGGGGTGGTCTGGTAGGCAGTCACTATCCATTTCTCAGTCCCCAGGCGTCCGCGTCCCGAGCGTTTCCGAGCCCCCCGCCCCGCCACAGCGGAGCGGCTCGCTCTGTCCCTGGGCCCGCCGCCGCGACGTGCTGTCCAGAAGCTCCCGGCCGCAAGTGTGTGCGTGTCGGTATCGTTTAACCCAGTCCAATCCTCATCCCCAGCCCCTTCGAGACCCCCACCAAATTACCACCCCAGTTGGGGGTACACCCCTCGAAACCCGAAGGGAACGACGTATATCCCCATCTAGGGGGGGGTAAATCGGCCAGTGGGGCCCAGGCCACTCCGCTGGGGATGGGGATCGGTTAAACCATGTTCAGCGTTCCTATTTCATGGAAGCCTCAGAGGGTCACAGAATTCCTTGCGGTCGACATCTGGACGATATCGGCATTTGGTCGAACCTGCCTCATGTTCAGCGCGAAGAGCCGGGCTCCTGGGACCCCGGGGCCCATCTGCCTCGCCGGGCCCGCGGCGCGGCTGCCGCCGGCGGACACGCTTGCGAGGGCGCAGCAGGCGGGGCCCCCTCGCGCGCCGCCTGCGGCGCGGGCCCCCGCCGCCGCCGCCGCTGGCTCCTCGTCTCCCTTGGGGGACGGCCCCAGAAGGCGGTACAGCCCGGCGACGGGCCCTGGCGGAGGCGTCCAAGAAGGGCGTGTTGGCTACAGCCAGCCCGCACAGCAAGGATGGGTAACCTTTCCAGGGGTGCCCCGGCATGCTCGCCTCCTCGGTCCATTCTTCGCCACTTTCGTTGCCCGCGCCCCGTTGGAGAAGCTCCCACATGGGCGTCCAAGGCCCTTGCAGCATCATCGCGCATCCTCATGAAACGGGTCGACTGTAGGGGAGGGGCGTGGATAGCATGGCCTGGGCCACGAGTATCTCCCTGGACCTCCTCGCACCCCCCTCTTCCTTCAGTGCGTTCCGTGGTTCTACCCTCGTCCGCGCACGTGCCTCGGGCCGTGATTCCCGCCCCCATCTCTTGGGCGCCCCCCTCTGGGACGCCCCTGACCCTGAGATCGGGGCGCTCCCAGAGATCCCAAGGCTCCCCCAAAGAAAGTGGAGCGGCCGGTTTTTGTTTATCGTTTTGGGCCTTTGGGGACCCTCAACGGGCACCAGCACCACGTAAAACCATTCAGGACTAAGAATTGGCTCTCGGGAAGCTGTCGGGGCCTTCGGGGGTCCACGCATCGGGAGTCAGTAGTTCGATGCAGCTTTGGAAATGCCGCAGGAAGATGGGCTGCTCTCCTATTCAGAGGGATGTTTTTGTCATGGCCCATTGTTCTCAGCAGTTGTCCTCTCGGGATGCCTTCCAGCAGCTGCGCCTCGCCGAGAGCGTTATACGGGGGTGCCTGGATCCTGGATCGCCCCAAGCGGCCCCCTGAAAGTGGAGTTACGGCCCCCAAACAAGATTTCCCAGGTCATGCAAGAATCACGACGCAGTTTTTGTTGTTACTACTTTCAGCCTCCGGGGGGTCTTGCGGGGCCCCGGGACAGTCAAAACCCATCAAGCGGGTCCCCGGTGCCATCCACGTCCGTCGCCTTCAGATCACCGACGACACGATATGTTCAATCCTTGCGTGTTTTTCCTGGATTTCGCACTCGGACCCCAGGGTAATCGAAAACGGACCCGAGGCGAGACTTTGGGCCGTTGCATCGGCGATGCGGCTCGATGTGGAGCCCGATATTCTCCTCCGCGCTGGCGGCGCCGATGCATCGCCGACGTCGCCAATGCGTCGTCGACGCATCGACGATGCGTGGATGCGGCGCGATTTCCAGTCCCAGCTGCTCGGACCGCGTTTTGGGAGGCCTCCGGGGAAGGGGGTCGGGGCCTCCTGCGGCCTCCGGAGCACCCCGCACGAGGCCCAGGGCGCTCCTGGGGCTCCAACATGCAGCGACAAGACGGGGGCACCCTGGGCCATGGATACCTTTGACAACCCTGATCGTCATTCTCGCTCCTCCTCGATCTTCTGTTCACCCTCCCCCCCCCTTCCCGCCTGGTATCCCAGCCGTTGTGGGAACCCTTGGGGGAACAGTTTTTCGAGGAAGAGTGGAAGCCATGTAGGCCGACTTGGAAGGATTCTTGGACCGTCGTGGATGCCGTATAGGGCCATCTTGGCCGGGTTGGAGTCCATATTGTCCGCCTTGGAGCCATCTTGGCCGTCTTGGAGCCTTCTTGGGCGCCTCCTTCGCCGTCTTGGAGTCATTTTGGAAGTCCTCGAGGCTGTCTGAGGCTGTCTGAGGCTGTCGGAAGTCCTCGAGGGCGAGAACGCGGAACTCATTGAACAGCTCATTGACCGTTCCATTGGGGGTGCTCTTGGGGCCGTCCTGGAGGCAACGTTGCACCATTTTGGCAATGGTGGATGCGAGTTCTCTTGACTTTCTGGTGGTTTGCGGTGGTTTCGGATGGTTTCTGGGTGGCCCGCACTTCCAGCCGGAATCTTCTGGAATGGCCAAGCAGTGTTCAACACCGCTCTGCAGGGTTGTAGGGCGGTGTATCGAGTGGCCTTCGACCCATCACACAGTGTGCGTGGTCCCCCCTGGAGGGCCCGTCGAGGGCCCTGGGAGGCCGCAATCAGCCCCAAACCTGCCGCTCCGAGCTCTTCGGAGCTTCGGATCTGGGCCACGCAGCGCCGACGCTCGCACCCGCCTCGTCTCCGGCAGGCCTGGCGCGCTGAGCCCGAGCCGGGGCGGCACTGCCCCCCCTGCGCGGGGGGCCGGGCGGCGGCCGCGGCGCGAGGCCCTCGTGGAGACGCTGGGCGCGGAGGTGTTCGCGGTGCTGGGCGCCAGGGGCGCCTCGCCGAGCCTGCCGCCGGAGCTCGAGCGGTGGCTGGCGGCGAGATCCGAGCCCTGTCTGTGCCTCTGTGGGCGTCGCGTATTGGTCTGGGCCTCCCAGGCGGGGTCGAGGGGACGGGGCCGGAGGATCGCGCTGCATCGCCGATGCGACGCCGACGCGTCTCGATGTGGAGCCCTATCTGCTTCACGTCGACGTTGCCGATGCATCGCCCACGTCGCCGGCGCATCGCCGATGCATCGCCGACGAATCGGCGCTGCGGCGCGATCCTCCGACCCCATCTACTCCGACCCCATTCTATCTAGGAGGAGGCCTCTAGTAATGGGGGGGCGACACTCTGGGGGCGAGGGACGGTCTAACATCACCTTTTTCGCCGTCGGGGACCCCTGTCCCAGGGCGGCTGGAAAGTTTACACCCCTGCGGTGGCACGTCAGGGCAGAACTTTCCAGCCGCCCTGGGACAGGCGCCCCCAGCGACGGAAGAGCTTCTTTTGTACCGCTCTTCGCCCGCTGAGATGCACGGGGGGGGCAGCGAGGGTTGCAGAAAAGAGGCCCTGAAGGGGCCATCCAGGGCCCCAAAATGGGACCTCTTGGGCCCGAGAAGTGCAGCTGTCTCCCCCCCCCCTCCCTAGGGATCGCCACCCCTCCCTAGGGATCGCCCCTCCCTCCCCCCCTCCCTAGGGATCGCCCCCCCTCCCTCTAGGGATCGCCCCCCCTCCCTGGGGATCGCCCCCCCTCCCTGGGGATCGCCCCTCCCTCCCCCCCCTCCCTGGGGATCGCCCCCCCTCCCTGTGGATCGCCCCCCCTCCCTAGGGATATCGCCCTCCTTCTCCCTAGGGATCGCCCCCCCCCCAGTCCGCGACGCCCGAGGCGGCGAGGCCCGGGCCCCGGGCCCCCTCGCCCTGGAGCCGCCGGGGGGCCTGCGGTGGCCCAGCACTGGCGTCGGCCAACAGTTCACGGGCGAAGAACCAAGGGCTCCCACGAGGGCGCGAAGTTATTCGCGCTTCGCGCTTCGCGGTCCTCGTTCCTTCTCCCCCCTCCTCCTCGTCCTCCTTGTCTCCCTTTGGGGGGGCGGCGCGAGGGCGCGAAGTTATTCGCGCTTCGCGCTTCGCGGAGCGCGAAGCGCGAAGTTGGGAGCCAGAACGGTATAAAATAAACTTTTTCGCCGTCGGGGACACCTGCCCCAGGGCGGCTGGAAAGTTTATACCCTTACGGTGGCACCGCAGGGGTATAGACTTTCCAGCCGCCCAGGGGCGGGTGTCCCCGACGGCGAAGCGGTTTATTTCATACCGTTCCTCGCTCGCTGAAACAGGAAGGGCGGCCAACGGGAAGGGCGGGGAGGGCTTGTGCCTTTTGCTGCCTCGGGCGGCCGTTTCCAGGCGCGCGTGCCGTCGAAAACGCAGGGAGGGCGGGCAGGCTCGAGGTCCTCGAGGTTCGGGAGGGTCTCGTGCCTCTTGCTGCCTCGGGGGGGCCGTTTCCGGGCGCGCGTGCCGTCAAAAACGCATCCGGAGGGAGGCATCGCACCGGGTGGACCCCGCGAGGGGTCCAGGGCCTGGGGGCCGATTTTGAGTGGGTCTGGCCTCGTCGCCGGATTCCGATCAACCATTGAGGCACCTCGATGAGCGGCGGGGGCAGGGTTCGGAACTCGTCGAGCTCGTTGCGAGATCCGAGCTTGCCCCGCCTCCCCTCGATTCTGGCGGGAGCAGGGTCCGGATGTCGCGACCTCAGGTGGCTGACGTCGTACTCGGTCTTCCAGGCCGGCACCCGCACAGATTTGCCTGCCCTGAGCTCCGGGCCGGGCGTTGCCGTCGGATCTCACGGGAGGTGGGGGATCGTCGGGGCTCCATCGTGAGGGGAGGGCCACCCCTGCGGAGGAGCAGGTCGGGCCTCGGAGCGTCGGGGCCGCCGATTTCCCAGGTGGGTGGCGGGGGGGCTCCTGATAGCGAAGTCGACGAGGCACCGCACACGTCATCTTTCGGACGATGAAGATCGGGGCTGGACAGAACCCCCAACAGTGACACGTCGATTAGTGAATTGTCCGTTTTCGGTTCTCGAGAGGGCGCCGTGGCCGTTATTTTCCGGGTTTGCGCCCTCCAGGTCTAGGCCTCAGGTCGGTTTCACTAGACCACGTTTTACTAAAGGGGGGTCTGGCCATCCCCGAGAAGAGGTTTTCGGGGGGGCGGGCGCAGCGTCCTGCCTCGGATTGCCGGCCGTATCTGTTTCACAACCTGACTCGATAGCGAAGTCGACGAGGCACCGCACACATCATCTTTCGGATGATGGAGAGATTCTCGGGGAGACGGGTGCAGCTTCCTGCCTCGGAGTGCCGGCCGCATCTCTGTTTCACAGCCTGACTCGCCAGCCAGCGTTGCCGTTTTATCCCTCTGCAGGTCTGCCCGCTCATTTTGTTGACGATTCTGTTCACCAGGCGTGCGTAGTGCCTCAGTCGATCGATTAACCCCAGGAAGCATTTAAGACCCCCCCCCTCCGGCAAATCGATAACCCTTCCGCACCATCATCCATATCCGCATCATCATCATCATCAACATCATCATCATCATCATCATCATCATCATCATCATCATCATCATCGTGTCCGGGTGCTACAGCTATCGTTCGGTTATTTCGGCCCCTCGGAATATCGAATAAAAAATGCGGTGCTACGATATCGCCGGGGGGGTTCTTAAATGCTTCCTGGGGTTATACCAGATACTTTTCAGGAGGGAGGGAAACACACAGACACAATGAATCGTCGACCCCCCCCCCCCGAAAATATACGAAAAAATATGGGAGGTGGGGGGAGTCAAACACCCAGAAAGTATGGGAAATTAGCCTGGCGAAGAACCCAACCCCTGATTTTATCGCGGGGCGACTATAAACAGGACCGCTCAATGCACGAAAACACTTTGAAGGTCCTCGAATATCCTTGGATCGTTGCGCCAGAGAATGTCAAACTACTCCCGCCGTCGCCCATTCACGCGCGCACTCTCACGACTCACATTGGAAGCGAGGACGGCCGCGAAACGCGTGAGATGCGTGCAGAAATGGCACGAAGGCGCCATGCGGACCCTGCTACGGGGGCCTTCGGTGGAGCTCCCTAGGGGCCACGAACCGTGTGAGGGGGTGTGCCGAAATGGTCGGGGCGGCCGCATGCGGACCCTGCCAGGAGCTCCCTAGGGGCCACGAACCGTGTGAGGGGTGTGCCGAAATGGTCGGGGCGGCCGCATGTGGACCCTGCCACTGGGGCCTTCGGTGGAGCTCCCTAGGGGCCACGAACCGTGTGAGGGGTGTGCCGAAATGGTCGGGGCGGCCGCATGTGGACCCTGCCACTGGGGCCTTCGGTGCAGCTCCCTAAAAGGCCACGAACCGTGTGAGGGGTGTGCCGAATGGTCGGGGCGGCCGCATGTGGACCCTGCCACAGGGGCCTTCGGTGGATCTCCCTAAGGGCCACGAACCGTGTGAGGGGTGTGCCGACATGGTCGCGGCGGCCGCATGTGGACCCTGCCACTGGGGCATTCGGTGGACTTCCCTAGGGGCCATGAACCGTGTGAGGGGTGTGCCGAAATGGCCGGGGCGGCCGCATGTGGACCCTGCCACTGGGGCCTTCGGTGGAGCTCCCTAAGGGCCACGAACCGTGTGAGGGGTGTGCCGAGATGGTCGAGGAGGAGGGGGAGGAGGAAGGATTGAGCGCGGCGCTGCAAACTCAAAGCGAGGACACGACACACAGGAGGGTTGGGAAATATGGAGAATATTGTTATTTGTGTGTATTTACTTGTGTGTCCCAGGGCTCCTTCAACTTTCGACCTAAACGACCACACGTCGTGTGTTGGAGGGATGGGCACGGGCGTCGGCGTGCGATTGGCGCTCGGTCGCAGTCGCAGACTGTCTATGGTTCGACCCCGTTGTCCGGCTGCCTGCGGCAAGTCCCACCACTGCAGCAGCACGGTGCTCTCCTAGGCGACGGTTCGAGTGGCGCTCGATCGTATTCGCAGTATATATATATATATATATATATATATGCACATTGCTCATGTTTAATTATTCGAAGGCTCCTTGATTTTTTGGGGGCCAAGATCCTTTCATTTCTAACTGTTCTATCCTGGGCCTCGTCCTGGCCACTGGGGGGCCAGGAACAATTAGAAACGAGCACAATAAGAAATGAGCACGATTAGAAATGAACGACGTGTACATCTCTCTCTTTCTCTTTCTCTACCTCCTTATTTGGCTGCCTGTGGCAAGTCCCCTAGGCGATTGTTCGATGGTGCGACAGTAGGCTGTAACATGTGAATCGAGCGGCATTCAACATGCAGTTTGCTTTGACGGTTGGAGCAACGGTGAGAATGTTGTCACATGTCAAACCTTGCTCAGCATGAGTTTATGTAGGGGCCCTCTTGGGCCAGCTTGAACCCGTCTTGGGCCGTCTTGTCGCTCTATTGGGCCGTCTTGTTGCCTTGCTGGCAATCTGGGAGGTCTCTTGAGGCCATTTTGGGGCCATCCTGGGTCCGTCTTTTGGGCGTCGAGGGGCCCTCCAAGGCCGTCTTACGTTCCTCAGTCGATTCTCTTCTTAGGCAGCTAGGGGTTCTCTTGGGGGCCGTCCTGAACCGTCTACGAGCCCTCCGGGCCGCCTTTGAGCAATCTTGGAGACTTTGGCGGCGGCCTTGGTCTGAAGGAAACCCGAAACGGTGAAGACACCGAATTCGTTCCGAGATCATGCGAACCAAACATGAGTTGAGCTCCTTTGGGCCATACGTGGCGTCCTCTTATGGGCGCGTCGCGGGAGCCGCCGCGACGACGTCCGAGACGCTGCGGCTCAACCCAGTCGGGGCCGAAGCGCCCGCGGCAGCGGCCCCCACGGCGGCCGAGCAGCCTCAGCACGGGGAGGCGCCGCTGGCAGAGGCGGACCCCGACGAGGTGCCAGCCAGGGCGAAGCTGGTGCCACCGCTCCCCAGCCCAGCCAGGGGGAGATCGACAAGCACAAGCTCACCCACCTGCCACCGCGATGCTGGTGCGACAAGCGCGTGCCAGCCGAGGCTGCGGACGACCCGCGCCGACAGGGCGGCGGACCTGACAGCGTCGATGAGGTGCAGATGGACCACCTGCAGCGCGGCGCCGTGGTCGCAGCCGCGGAGCTGGCGGCCTCAGCCGACAGAGAGGCGTGGTTGGCGCCAGCGGATCAGCAGATCGACCAGGCCGTCCTGATGCTTCAGCTGGTGGACCCAGTCGCTGGCGACGGCGTGGAGGTGTTGGTCAACGTGCTGGTGGTGGCGCACCGTCAGTCTACTGCAGTGCACGCGGTCTTTGGACCGAACGGTATGCACCCTTTCATGTCCACTGCAGCGAGTGCAGCCATCGACGCTTGGGGTATCGCGGGGTGTATCCTGCGCACCGACCAGGAGCCAGCAGTCCAAGCGCTGGCCGAGCAGATCTCCGAGGAGCGGAAGTTGAAGGGCTTCAAGTGCCAGCACACGGCGGCGCCTTCCAGGAGTTCTTTATCGATGGGCTCCGTCGAGGCCATGAACGACCAAGTGGCCAAGTAGGTGCGCGTGATCCAGCTCCAGCTCGAGTCGGGCATGGGTGCGCGCACTCCCGTGTTCCATCGGGTGGTGCCGTGGATGGTCAGGCATGCTGGGCGGCTCCTCGCACGGTTCGCCGTTAGACAGGCTTCTGGCAAGACGGCCTGCCACGTCGATAGGGGCGAGCCGTGCCGCGGGGAGGCGGCCACGTTTGGAGAGGTTGTCTGGGCCCGAGTGCTAGGCGACCGCGCTCGGGAGGCAGAGGCTCAGTGGCGTTTTGGCGCCTGGCTGTGCAAGACCGAGAAGAGCGATGAGCACCTGGTCGCGGCAAACTGGCCGGCACTGCGCGATCAGGAGGCAGCCGAAGGGGCGGAGGTTCAACGTGGAGGCGCTGTACAGCTTCGCGGGCTTGTCTTGGGACTTGGAGTCCAAGCCTGAGCGCGCAGACACTGCAGCAGAGCGGCCCTGGGGAGGCGCCGAGCCCCACCGCGGTGATAACGTGGCGCGGGCGCGCCAGGCGCAGGCGGAGCAACGCCAGGCCGAGGAGGCGCCCCCGGCGGCAGCAGCAGCAGCTCCAGCGGCGGAAGAACCAGCACGCCCGCCTCTGGGACCTTTGGCGCTCCGCCGAGACCCCGGCCCGAGCCGAGGGCCGGACGGGCCACCTACGCGACGAAGAGGGCGGCGCAGACCTACGGGCCCATTTTGAACTGTCCGAGGCGCTGGCGAGCGCAGGAAGCGCATGGAGGGGGAGCTCCTGGGCGAGGCGAATCGGCCGGCAGCGGCCCGCCCGTTGCCAGGCGACGCCGTCGCAACCCCAGAGATGGAGGTGGATGCGGCAGCGGTTGGCCCCGCAGCCACGATGGCAGCAGCAGGAGACGCAGCAGCGGCGGCGAGCTCATCCCAGCCACCTCCTGCGAAGGGCGGCTCAGCGGGCGACTCCTCGGGGGTGGGCGTCGACTCCAGGGGCCGACCAGCAGCTCCCGCGGACAGCGAGCCGCGGCCGAAGGCGCCCAGGGTGGCCAACCTCTTGGTGCCCGTGGACGCCAGTGAACCTGCCTACTTGGGACTCGACGCCGAGGACTGCGAGCGGCTGCAGCTGTTCGCGGCGCCCGCGCGTGATCGGGAGACTCCGACAGCGTGGGCCTACGACCTCGGGCCAGAGGCGGCGGCGTACAACAGCCGCTCGGGCGAAGAGCTGCCGAGGGAGCTCGTGGCGCAGGGGCGTCAGCAGGAGCTCAATCAGACGGCCGCGTTCGGCGTCTACGAGGGCGCGCCCGACGGCTCGAGCGTCGGCAGACGCATGCGGAGCAAGTGGCTCGATGGACTCCGATACAACTTGCGCTTGGAGGTGTCCTTGGCTGCCTCGAAGCCCCCTATCGGGGCAGAGGCAAGTGGCTCTGTGCGATGCCAACGCGGCGTTCTTCCACGCGGGCATGGGCGAGTGGTTGTGCGTGATGCCACCGCCTGGGCTGCGACGACCTGGGCGGGTGTGGCAGCTCCGCAAGGCGTGCTTCGGCACGAGGCCTGCGTCGAGGTTGCGGCGTGCGTGCGTCGGCGACGTCTTCGAGAAGAGTCAGCCACCATGGGCTCGGATCGCGCCGTGCCCTGGTGCCTTCTACAACGAGACGTCGGACATCGCGCTTGGCGTGCACGGTGGCGATTTCGCGGCAGCGGGCATCTCGGCGAAGCTGGACGTGCTCGACGCGTTGCTGGAGGAGCACATCGAGACCAATAAGCTGGGTCGAGTGGGGCCGGGTGCCAGCGGCGGTAGCCACGGCAGGCTGCTCAAGCGGCGCATCGACTGGCGGGGGGCTCCGTCTCCTCGCTTCGCGTGGAAAGCAGATGACTCGCACGTGGACAAACTGCTCGAGCTCTTGGACTTGCCAGTTGACGCGACGAAGCCTCAGATGAGCCCAGGCTCGAAGGCCACGGGAGGCTCCGTGCCCAAGGAGGTGGTCGTGGACGAGCGGCTCAAGAGGCTGGTTCCCGAGGCAGGCGGAGTGCTGACCTACCTGTCCCAGGACGCGCCGCAGGTGCAGCACGCAGCGAAGATGATCATAGCGGAAACGTCGAAGTCTACGCCACTTGCCGAGGTCAGGCTTAAGCGTGCTGCGTGGTACCTGGTGGGGTGCCCAGTGACGGGGTGGCACTGCCCGCTGCAGGACCTCCCCGTCGCGGCGGACGTCGAGGGCGACTGCGACTTGGCCGCGAAGTCCGCGCAGTGCACGGTGATGCTATTTGGTGACCATTGCCTGGAGGTGACGACGTCGACGCAGGGTTACGGAGCGACGTAAAGCGGGGTGGCAGAGCTCCTGGCTTTCAATAGGGCGGGTGCCTCCGCTATTCTGTCGCAGCAGATCATCGCGCCGCGCGGGATCCACGCGCAGGGAGTCGCTGGCACGGACAGCTCGGCCGGCAAGGGGATGGCCCGCCGAGTAGGGCCAGGCCGAGCGCGGCATCTCCGCATTCAGGGCCCGTGGATACAGGAGCGCGCGTGATTCGACACGGCGGTGAACCGAGCAGAGACTGGGACGAAGTACCTGGACGGCTCGAGGATCGAGGTCTTGCTGAAGCTCATGGGGCTAGCGACGAGGGCGCACGGCTGGCCATGTAAGCGATTCCACGGCGGTTATGCTGGAGTTAGTCTTAGCAGCAGCACGTGCGTGGCGTAGCGGGGGGCACCGCAGCCGCGGGAGAAGGCCAGTCTGACGGCAGCGCGATCGGCATCGCCATGCCGTTGTTCATGTTCATGCTGGTGTGCATGCTGGGAGCCACGGTAGCGGCGTGCTACCTCCCCATGTGAAGCCCAAGAGAGCGTCAGCCCGACGCTGCGGGCGGCGAGGTGATGGAGCGCACCAACGACGGGCGAGACGACAGCGCTCAGGGCGGACGGGGGCGGGAAGCACCGCCTCTAGCCACAGAGGGCGCGAGCGCTCAGGGCGGGCGAGAGCGGGAAGCACCGCCTCCAGCCTCAGAGCGTGAAACATTCCGGCCCCCGAATCTTGGGGCTGCGTGGCTGCGCGCAGGCCAGTCGACCCCCTTTTGATTACACCGCGCTCACATCTATACCCCTGGGTGGGTGTGTGTGCGGCCGTTTTTGCGCTGTCATGTGCGCGCATGTGCGCGGCATGTGCCAGTCATGTGCCAGGCCTGTGCGGCCCTTCTTGGATGGATTTCCTACTGTGCACGTCGTGCCCGGGCATGTGCGGGGGCATGTGCGCTGTGTTTTGGTGTATCCATCATACGCACATGCACGCACAGTCCGACGCACATGCGCGCACATGCTTGCACATGCGGGAGGTGTTCGAGAATCGCAGATCTGTCATCGGCACATGCACGCACATGCCTGTGCAACCTCTCTTCGGGAGGCCGCGCGGGCCCGCACATGCACGCACATGCGGTGAAGCGCGCGGGCGCACATGCGTGCACATCCCAATGCACATGCACGCTCATGCCCTAGGATCTGTCTGGGACCCTTGTGCCTCCAATGCCTCCTGGCCTTCGCAGAGCTAACCTGGGGCGTGCCAGGGCTTCCTGAAAGAGTTTGTTGTGCGTTTAGACTCGCCCGCTGCTGGCGGGAGCGGTTCTTCGCCCGGTGTGTGAGCTGGCGGCGGCGTGCCCTCCTAGTAAAACGCTCTCCCGCGCGCCTTCTCAGCTCGGCCGGAGAAGCAGGGGGGGGGGGAGGGGGGGGGAAGGAGGGGGGGGCGGAGGAGGCGGACGCCCCCGGCTCGGCCGGCCCGCCCGACTGTTCGGCTCGGCCAGACGAGAAGGAGGAGGGAGGAGGAGGAGGAGGAGGAGGAGGAGGTGAGAGTCGCGAGGATGTCTCAAGCGAAAATGGCTTGAAGGCCCGAGCTCAGGGAATCTCGGAATCGCTGGCCTGGCTCGGCCATTGGCGAGGTCGGCATGTGCGAATACTGTGCGTACCTGTGCGGGGCATGTGCGGGACGTGCAAGAATGCCGGGGCCGGCGTTCGTCTCCGGGCGCCGGCGCGTTCGCGTCCGCGCGCAAGCCGCGCGCGGACGAGCGTTCGCTTGATTGCGCGGCCCCGACAGACGGGGCGCCCCGCTCACGCTCCGCACAGGCGCGCGCAGCGCTCGCCCCGCCCGCGTTCGCCGGCAGGAGCGGCACGCCAGAACAATGCTGGAACGACCAGGTGCACAAGGCATTACTGCACCACCTTCACAAGGCTTTGCGCGAGGTCGTGGGGCAGCACCCGATCTTACGAATGGGTCAGCCACTGTCGCCTGAGACGTCCTCGCAACCCTGATCTCAATGATGCCCTGCTCGATAGTGTCTCGGCTCCTTTCGCTTGAGACATCCTCGGTACTCTGGGTTCCGAGACGCCCTGAGCTGAGCTGGTTAGACCACTTTCGCTTTAGAATCCTCGCCCGAGATGCCCTGAGTTGAGGTGTTCAGGCCACTTTCGCCTGAGGCATCCTCACAACTATGACCTCAATGATGCCCTGCTCCATAGTGTCTCGGCCTTTTTCGCCTGAGACCCTCGCAACTCTGGGTTTCGAGATGCCCTGAGCAGGTGGTCAGGCCACTCCTGCCTGAGACATCCTCGCAACTCTGGGTTCCGAGACGCCCTGGGCTGAGGTGGTCAGACCACTCTCGCCAGAGGCATCCTCGCAACTCTGACCTCAGAGATCTCTTGCCCCATGGTGGTCAGGCCACTTTCGCCTGAGACATCCTCACAACTCAGACCTCGGAGGTGTCCTGCCCCATGGTGGTCTGGTCACCTTGACCAGCGACATCCTCGCCACTCTGGTTTCCAAGATGCCTTGCCCCATGGTGGTCCGGCCACGCTTGCCTGAGACATCCTCGCAACTCTGGGTTGCGAAATGCCCACTATCGCCTGCGACATCTCTGCGGCATTTGCTGGCATGTGCGTCTATGCTTTCAGAGTTTTGCTTGACCGTGCATTCGAGTGTGCGTCGGACGGTGTGGCATGTGCGCGCATGTGCGGCAATGCTGTTAAGGCTTTTGTATATTTGCATGGGCATGTGCATGCGACTGTGCGGCATGTGCCTGCATGTGCGGCCCCTTCCGGACCACAATTTCAAAGTGAGCACTATAGAAGTGAGCGCTATAGAAGTGAGTCCGGTGTAAGTCATCTGATGAAAAGCCAGCGAATCCCCTTTTGCCCTCCGCCCCCGCCCAGACCCCCGACGGCATTATCGCATGCTGCATTAGCGGTTGGGATCGTAATTGACAGGCCCCGGTCCGCCCAAGCGCGCTGCGCCAGCGCCCGCGCAATCGCATTCTATCCGTGCCGAGCTCAATGTTCTGGGAAAGGCCATGAGCCGTTGCTGCTGCTGCTGCTCTTGTCAGCGGCGGACGCGCAGTGGGATCCCTATGGCAGGCTGTCGACAGCGGGGCCGATCCCGACCCCGAGCGAGGACGCGATTGCACGCTACCCGTCGTTGTCGGGGAAACTCCGCCTAGGAATCGCGGCGAAGCTGACGAGGCGCGACGGGCGCGGCGCAGCCCGCGTGGCGGCGGCCGCCCGCGCAGTCTACGACGTGAACGCTCGCAACTCCACGTTGTGCCCAGCCATTGCCGACCTTGGCTCTGCCGTCCTGTTCAATTTTTCAACGGATGTGAAGGACCACGGCGGGTCCAACGAGCGCGCAATTCTGGCAGGGTTCTATTTCAACTACATGGTGGAAAACTCCGGCTTCGGCCTCTACGGAGAGCCCATGCACGGCACCGTTGGTTTCACTACGTAGGGCGCATCAGCGGCAGGCGCCATTGCCATGCAGTCGTTGGGGCTACCTATGGTTTGTTATTCCGCCCCCAGCCCACTGCTCTCGCTGAGCAACGGTCCTGCGCTCAAGTGCCCAAATTTCTGTCGCGTCTGCCCTGGCGACCAGAACCAAGTAATGGTCGATGCGCGCGCCATGAGGCACATGGGATACACCCGCGTGCGGTCATTTTACTTCAGCAGCGACTACGCGCGCAGCATGTGTAGCTCCTTCGCGAGCACGGCTACTTCTCTGAATATGATTGTCGTCTCCAAGGAGGTGCCCACGACGGGTGGTTACAGTGGCAGCTTCCAGATGAGAACGCCATTCAGCGCATCCAGGAGGCGTTCACGGAAATCCACGAGGACCCTTCTATGCCCCGAGTCATCATGTTGTGCGCTTTCCAGCCAGAGTTGCCGGAGGTGCTGAGGCAGGCCGGGAGCATGTGTCTGCGAAATAAGGAGCACAATTACGTTTGGTTCCACCCGGACGATGGTAATATCGACGACCCACGTGAAGCATTTGGCACCTTCTCGGTCAGTTGGATGCCCGATTCCGACCGCACGCCGCTCTTCGAGGAGGCTTGGGGCAGCGGCGAAATTCTAGTTGGCGGTTTCGATTTCAAGTTTGGCGAAATCACTTGCGGGTCCTCGATGAACGAGTCGTGTTGGGATATGCCGCAGGGTTCCACCTGGCCGAGGACGACGGCGACGCATTCAGGTATGTCGAGAACACATCCGTCACAGCGCAGAACAATTTCGCGAAGTGCAAGGCGCACGCGCAGCTTGGTTACGACATCATTGTGACGTTCAGTGTTGCCATGCACAGGGGCAACACTACTGGAAAGTTCACCAGAGAAACAGTGACGAGCTCGCTGCTGGAAGAGATGCTGCAAGAGCCGGTGGGTGATACCAGTTACGGTGAATGCCTGGCAGGTGGCCTTTTGACAATCCACGAGGATCAAGAGCGCAATTTGCTTTACATGGTAAGCAATTTTTATTTTGACAGCGCTGGCAACGCAGTGAAGGCCGACGTCGTCCTGGTGCAAGACCAGATGTCAGGTGCGTGGGTGTGCCAGGCTACCTCGGACCTGGCCGCGTGCTCCGTGGACTACCCTGGCCAGAAGTGCTTCAAGCCGAACGGCGAGGGCCCGCTCGACGGTGGTTTCCCGCTCGGCAGGGCAGAGATCTGCCTCGATGGCACGTGCTGGCAGAGGGGCGAGTACGTGCCAGCGGACCTCGGCTACTTCGTTCCCGAAATAGCACTGAATCAGTCAATGCCCTACATGGCGCAGACCGCTTGCCCTGTGGGTTCGTACGCGAGCGTGTCAGGTCAGACCGCGTGTGCGCTCTCCAGTACGGGTTATTGTGTGACCGAATTCTACGAACGAGGTGCAGTGCGCCGTGCCGAAGGCACGTTCGCGGACGAGAAAGGCGCCGCAATTTGCACCGAGTGCGTCGCTGGCGATGTTTAGGAAAAGCGAGGCCAGACGAGCTGTGACCGTTGCGAAGTGGGCAGGTACCAGGATGAGAAGGGTCAGTCCAGCTACATATCTTGCTCAGACCGCCGCGCGACTCTGCACACGGGGTCCTCGAGCGCGGTCGAATCCATTTGCCAGGTGGGCACCGAGTACACGGACGATACCACAGACACTTGCAAGCCGTGCCCCATCGGCATCAATTGCTCGGCAGGTGAGCAGTTGGCACTCGACATGGTGGTTACACCTCTCTGTCCGTCAGACTTGGCTACTACATGCCAGCCAGCATCTGCTGTGAGTGTCGGTGATTCTGCGGGGTGTGAAGATGCCATTATCAATGAGGCTTGCGCATGCGATGCTCTTGGGGAGGCCGTGCTATCACAGTCTGGTTACAGCACGTCATGCCCTGGTGCTCCAGCGGGCTCTTGCGCGCTGAACCGCGACGCTGGCTCGCTTGCTTGCGGGCGCTGCATGGGTGACCACTTCCGCGGTTCGGACGGGACTTGTTCGAAGTGTGGAGGCGGCGAGGCCGTTGGCTTGGTAGTAATAGTAGTCCTTGGACTGGCACTGCCTGTCGGATCCTACTTCTTGATCAACCAGGGAGTTATTGCGAAGCTTTGAGAGAGGTCAGTCGGCTGCCATCCTGAGTATCGGGACTTTCGTGACAAGCGTGCAGCTGGCAATAGTCATCACCAAGATCTCGGTGACATGGCCTGTAGGCAACAGCGACATTCATCACTTTCGGCATTTTCGCCTTCGATTTGGACCCCGTGCGCGCCGAGTGCCTGTTCGGTTCAGGCGCTACAACTGGCTACGTGCTCACGCTGCTCATCCCGATCCTGTTAGGAGCGGTGCTCTTCGGCGCGTCGTTCTTCTCCCGCTTGGTCATTGGTGTGAGCCACCGGTTGCACATGAAGGGGCCTGAGACGTTCAACACTTATTCCACAGCGTCCCAGGCGATCCTCATTGCTGTCTTCATAACGGTTGTACGCCCGTTCCGATCTTATTTTGGCCCCAATGGCAAGTATTCCATGGTGGATTACCTTGGTATCATTGTCGGGACCGCGATTCTGACCACACAGTGATGATCTTCTTTGCCATAATTGTCATATTCGGGAAGGTCTATCGTTTCCAGGACGGCGCCTGGGATTG